TAGCTAGCAAATTTCCTAGCCTACGTAGTTTCTAGACTTAAAAGAATCTACCGACATCCTATTCAATTCTAAGAGGAATCACTAGCATTACTGCTTTCACTGTTATCACTACCACTGCCACTGTCATCACTACCACTGCCACTCTCAGAGGTTTCAACAATTGTGGCTTTGGGTTTGCCCTTCCTCTAGGTAGGCAGTTCCCATGCAGCTTCTTCTGCTTCCCTCTCTCTCTCCCTTGTTGCAGCCTCTTCTGCCTCTTTCCGTGCGCGTGTAGCTGCTTCTGCTGCTGCTGATGCTGCAGCGCGTTTCTTCAGGTGATGGGACCGCCGTCGCTTCACCAAGCGTGATCCTTCAGCCATAACCACCTCACGAGCCGGCCGCCTCTTCTTGCTGGCATTCCACCTATCCACCAGCTCCTCTGTGTTCAGCTCGTAATCCAGAAGAGACACCGTCATCAGGTCGCCCAGTGTTGTGTCGCACAAGCTGCCGCGCACCCAGCTTTTGATGATGTTCTGATGGCTGAAGCCGCGCTCACACTCAACAGTGCTGAGCGGTAGCACAGCAACAGCTATCCACAGGCGACCGAGGTTCGGATAGGCTGACTCCCAATCCGGCGTTGAGAGCATCTGCGACAGGCTGTCGTGGAAGGACAGGTCTTCATGGTGAATGGAGAGGATGGTGGTGAAGCTGGTGAGCTCCTTGGCGGCTTTGCCCCAGTCGACACCTGAGGGTGAGGGTAGGGTAGGGTGTGGGACATCGGTTATCACAAAAAAGAGTCCAGTTAAGGCACGGCAGCACTAACGGTTAGAGGAAGATACGTTGTTTTAAATGCAAACGCTAACCAGGGAGGGTGTCTGGATGGTGGGGCTTCTTCTTGAACAGGTTGCGCAGCGACTCAAGCCATTCGCGAAAACGACGCGCTCTCTTAGCGCGCGAACGCGGGTACCGTCCCTGCCGAAACAGACGGGCCCCGTCCAACGACTTGAGACTCGTGAAGCGATCCTCGATGAAGAACACAGTCCTCCCAGCAAACTTAGATGCCGCCTCCACGCACGACGCCAGGTCGCCCCCAAACTTCTCCTTCCCGATTAGGTCCTCGTGCAGCAAGTAGGTGTGACTCACGGGTGCTCCCGCGCTGTCGATGCTTTCGACCTTCACCTCGCGAAGCTCGGTGCTCCCGTGGTTCTTCAGGAAAGTCGCAAGACGACCACTGTTGTCGCCGAATGTGGAGCCGTACTCCACATAGCGACTTGTCAAGATCAGGGTGGTGTGTGTGAGAATGAGAACGAGAGAATGGTGTGAACTATGAATGAAGCGAGTACAAATATGAAACCCTAGTTGGGTTGTACCCCCTATGGGATACCCCACTATAGCCTACACAATAGCATAAGCTATAATGTTCTAACACACCCCTATAGGCAAAGTGGGGGAGAACAAGGGGTCACAAGACCAGTCAAGCAAAGCAAAGCAAAGCTCAGGGTGGATCACAAAGTCACCACACATTCCGAGCACAAGTTCAAAGGCCAAAATGCCAGTTCACATGCAAGAGCACATATATATATATATAGAGGCTAAGCAAGCAAGAGCAGGAGTATATATATGTGACAGTACAAGCAAGGTCAAGAAGTGAGCAAGTGAGGCAAGACAGGCACAAGACCCAGCTGAGTGCAGAAGCGCTGATGATCACAAGGCGCAAGTGCCTTGGTGAAAACATCAGCAGTGTTGGCCTCAGAGGCCACGTACGCAAGCCGCAACTGTCCACGCTGCTGTAGCTCACGAGCAAGAAAGTAACGGAGAGCAATGTGCTTTGTCCTGTGCTCCAGTCGCTGCTCTCGACACAAGGCCAGCATGGCCTTGTTGTCTACGTACAGGACTAGAGGAGAACGAGGCGGCTCTCCAAGGTCGGTCAGCAGGTAGGTGAGCCAGCGAAGCTCCTGGGCAGCCATAGCCCCGGCGTAGATCTCAGCCTCACAACTGGAGCCGAGAACAGAAGACGAGCGGGTAGCCCGCCACGAAACAGAGCCGGAACCAAGACTGAAGGTGTAACCCTGTGATTACCGCTGCGTAGCCTGGTCGTCAGCCCAAGAAGCGTCCGCGTGCCCAGAGAGGACCACTGGACTCCGCCCTCCAAGCACTAGCCCCATGCCCGACGTACAGCACAAGTAGCGCAACACCCTCTTCGCTGCAGCCATGTGCTCTGGTCGGTGTCTCCCAGGAGCAACATAGCGTGCAAGAATGCTAAGAGGGTATGCAAGGTCAGGTCGTGTGCAGGTCATCAGGTACATGAGGCAGCCAACAAGCTCTGGATACGGGCCACTCGACTCTACGGACTCATCCGAAGGCAGAGCTGAGAGTGAGTGGCGAGTAGGCAGAGGAGTGGCCTGAGGCGAGGAGTACGTGAAGCCGAAGCGCTGAAGGACCTGCTGCACCATGTGTGACTGAGTCAGGGTAATGGTGCGGCGTGCTCTGTCCGGGGTGATCTGCAAGCCAAGGTAGCTGCGCAGTTCACCCAGGTCTGTGCACGTGTGTCGCTTCTACAGCTCGGACTTCACGTAGGCGAGTCCAGCAGTGTCAGCTGTGGCAAAGACCAAGTCGTTGACGTACACGAGGATGTAGAACGGCGGCAGAGAGGTGTCGGTGCGCAGAAACAGCAACGGGTCGGCAGTAGAAGGAGCAAACCCAAGAGCCGCAAGCGTAGTCCTCAGTGTGTCATGCCACTCACGTGGCGCCTGGCGGAGACCGTAGACTGGACGCCGGAGACTCCACTCGGTGCTAGGAGGGAAAGACCCAGTGAAGCCAGGTGGGCGGCGCAGCCAGATCTCCTCGTGCAGGCTGCCCTGCAAGAAAGCTGTGCTGAAGTCGAGAGAGTGGAGCTCGTAGTCACGGTGAGCAGCAATGTGCAGCAGTACCCGAAGAGTGGTCATCTTCGGGGTGGGGGAGAAGGTCTGAAAGTAGTCAACTCCCTGCCGCTGACGGAAGCCACGAGCCACGTAACGCGCCTTGAAGACAGGCGGAGAACCCGGCGGCCGCTTCTCCCTGAAGATCCACATGCCACTGACGATGTTCGCCCCAGGAGGGGGGACAGCGTCAACGTAGGTGCCTGTGGACTTCCAGGAAGCCATCTCTGCATCCATAGCTGCCTGCCACTGAGAGGAGTAGGGACCCTCTATCGCCTCCGCGTAAGAGCGCGGAGTCGGGATGTCAAGTGCATCCGGGTCTCCCTCAGGGGTAAGCAGTACGGACACGAGATGAGGTGAAGCAGCAGCCAGACACTGGAACTCCTCCTGCCTGTCCTCAAGGACGTCCGTGCCAAGGGCACACTCACCCCCGACGGATGGAGGACAGACAGACTCAGACTCAGCGACAAGACTAGCAGCGTAGTCTAAGCGACAGTGAGCAGCAAAGTCGACGAGCTCAGTAACGAGAGCAGACGCAGCAGTAGACTCGAAAGAAGGGTCAGTGACAACAGTAGCAAGGAGACGCGTGACAGTAGGATTGGCAGCACGAAGAGAGTCCGACTCAGGGTCGGCAAGTGCAGGAAGAGAGGACTCAGGAGGGGAAGGCAAAGGGGCACGCAGAGGAGCAGTAGACGGACGCAGAGACATCCGGTGCGTGCCAGGGACAGGAGGAGGACGCTGGCGCGAACTGCGACCACTAGCGCGAGCAACTCTAACAGGCGACGCAGGACGAGACGCAGGCTCACAACGCTGAGTAAGACCTCCAGTAGGACCAGCGTAGGGAGAAGGAGCAGGCAGAGGGGAGGCAAGCTGTAGCTGTGACTGTGACGGGACAGGCTGTGGACACTCTAAGGGAGGAGGAGGACCAGTAGAAGGAGGAGGACCAAGAACCTGCTGCAGGAGTGGAACAAAGTACGGACGAGGCCGCGTGACGACGCCAGAAGCAGCAGGGACAGCACCAGTACCCTCAGCAGGAGCACCCGCTCCAGTAGCACCTCCAGCAGCACCAGGAGCACCCCCAGTAGGACCGCCAGCGGTAGTCTCAGCGCCAACACCCTCAGCAGCACCAGCTCCAGGCAAACCCGTAGGCCCAGCAGCTCCAGTACTCCCAGTACGAGCACCTCGGGGACCCGCGACCGCAGTACCCTCAGCAGCCAAAGAGCCTCCAGCACCAGCAGTACGGCGCCAGCGCCGAGCAAACCACTCGCGCAGCTCCTGTGGAGAGAGTGGCTCCCGGCGAGAAGAAGCACCCGGAGAACCTCCAGGCGGAGCACCTCCACCCCCAGCACCCCCAGGCGTAGCACCTCCAGGCTCAGCACCCCCAGGCGTAGCACCTCCAGGCTCAGCACCCCTAGGCGTAGCACCCCCAAGCTCAGCACCCCCAGGCTCAGCACCCCCAGGCTCAGTACCCCCAGGCTCAGCACCCTCAGACGCAGTACCCCCAGGCTCAGCACCCCCAGACTCCGCACCCCCAGGTCCAGCACCCCCAGGCTCAGCACCCCCAGCAGCACCAGAGTCACACCTCTGCGAAGGCCCGCGACCAGCTCCACCGCCACCCCCACCGCCTCCGCCGCCTCCGCTACTGCCGCCGCCTCCACCGCCGCCTCCACTGCCGCCTCCACCGCCACCTCCGCTCACACCGCCACCGCCGCCGCCGCCTCCGCCTCCACCGCCGCCACTGACCCCCCCACCCGCACCTCCACTCCCACCGCCACCCCCACTACCCCCACCGCCTCCACCTCCACCGCCCGCTCCTCCAGCTCCCTTGCCCCCCTTGCCCTTGCCAGGGCGGCGTCTCCCGCTAGGGCCAGACGCCGCACCGACCAACTCAAGACCAAGGAGGTCGGCCGCAGCAGCAGAGGCAACAGAGGGCAGCAGGGGGGAGGGAGAACACCCCTCAAAGATGGGGGTGCGCGGGTCACCTCGAGAGGCTCCTACAGCGACAATGCTCTTCTCTATCGTGAGGAGGGCCTTCTCGAGGAGGTCATTGTGAGTGTGGTGGGACAGACTGAGAGAAAGTGGTCTCTGACTACTCGAAGGGAGTCAGGGAGGCGAGTGACTAGGAAGTACAGAGTGATATACATTGGGGGGGGGGTTCGCGGTGCAGAAGTCAGCAGGAAGTGCAGCGCGGTAGCGAGTGTCACTAGTGCGGAGGTGCGTAATGAGGTCAGCAACGGTGGGAAAGGCAGCAAGGTCAGGGAAGAGGTACGGCAGCATGAGACGGCTCAGTGCAGCAGTGGAAGGGGAGGAGTAGCGCGCGACTACAGCGTCGTACAAGGTCTGAGCACTCTTGTACTGACTAAAGTGCGCACGCTCGGAGGTAGGGAGGTGGCGACGCACAGCAAGACGTGCAGCAGCATCGCGCGTGGCCCACTGGGAGCGAACAGTGGCGTCAGCATCAGCAGCAGGGGCAGGGGAAGCGCCAGAGGTGAGGTCAAAGAGAGAGAGGCCGTCCGCCCTATCGCACTGTAAGAACAGCTGTAGGTCATCTACCCCGACCTCAAAGTTAATGGCCCGACCCTCAGCGTAAAAAGCGAGGACACTAGGGGTAGCCATGACAGTAGGAGACCAGCAGTGCAAGCAGTAGGGGAAGGGCACGCAGTGACAGAGGGTCTGTGCTCACCAGACAGGGCTGCTCGGGCGGCTCAGCTGCAGGGCGGCTCGGCTGCTGGGCGGCTCGGTGGTTGGGCGGCTCGGCAGCTGGGCGGCTCGGCGGCTGGGCGGTCGGCTGCACGGCGGCTCGGCTGGTGGGTGGCCGGGCGGCTCGGCTGCAGCGCGGCTCGGCGGCGGGGCGGCTCGGCTGCTCTGTTGCTGGGCGGCTCGGCTGGGCCGCTGAAGTAGGGCGGCGGGGCCGCTGTAGAGGAGCGGCGGGGCCGCTGCAGAGAGGGCGGCGGGGCCGCTGGATAGGGCGGTGGGGCCGCTGCAGAGAAGCGGCGGGGCCGCTGCAGAAGGACGGCGGGGCCGCTGCAGAAGGACGGCGGGGCCGCTGGGTAGGGCGGCAGGGCCGCTGCAGAGGAGCGGCGGGGCCGCTGCAGAAGGGCGGCGGGGCCGCTGGGTAGGTCGGCGGGGCCGCAAGATAGGGCGGCGGGGCCTCGTGGTAGAGTGGCGGGGCCGCGAGGTAGGGCGGCGCGGCCGCGAGGTAGAGTGGCGGGGCCGCGCGATGGGGCGGCGGGGCCGCGAGGAAGGGCGGCGGGGCCGCTAGGTAGGGCGGCGGGGCCGCGCGATGGGGCGGCGGGGCCGCGAGGAAGGGCGGCGGGGCCGCTAGGTAGGGCGGTGGGGCCCCGCGAAGGGGCGGCGGGGCCGCGCGATGGGGGGGGGCGGGGTCGCGAGTAAGGGCGGCGGGGCCGCTAGGTAGGGCGGCGGGGCCGCGCAATGGGGCGGCGAGGCCGCGAGGTAGGGCGGCGGGGCCGCTAGGTAGGGCGGCGGGGCCACTAGGTAGGGCGGCGGGGCCGCTAGGGCGGCTCGACGCGACCATAAGGGCGGCACGACAGGCCGCTAGAAAAAAAAAGGAGAGCGCGACTCGAGGCGCGCTTCGGTGGGCCCTAGGAACAGTTCCTAGGAGGGGACCTGCTCTGATTCCATGTGAGAATGAGAACGAGAGAATGGTGTGAACTGTGAATGAAGCGAGTACAAATATGAAACCCTAGTTGGGTTGTACCCCCTATGGGATACCCCACTATAGCCTACACAATAGCATAAGCTATAATGTTCTGACAGTGTGCTGCACCATCGACCGCACCTGCGTCGCATCAAGCTACACATATTAAACAGAAACAGAATTAGGCTCGGCACGGGAGGACAGGATGGTGGTTGCAACTACACAAAATCACCTGTCGATGCTGGAACTTGAGATTCAGGCTGTTCAGCTCCTGAAGCACGTCAACCAGAAAGAAGAGGAAAAGCTGAAACTTCAAACTGGTGACAATAGTGTAAGTTGCCTTGTCGTACTCATGCAGAAGGACAACGGCAGCAGGCAGCACGTCTGCAAAGTGCTCGATGGCGTCCCCGCGTGACAGCCAGCGGCCGTCTTTAATCCCTTGCATCTCCAGGTTGGTCTCTGTAATCACCTCCTCCAGCTTCTTGAATTGCGCATGCTGCACGATGCTGCGGCCGAGAATGTCCGCGAAGGAACTCTTCAGCAGCATCCTTAGCAGCCAGAGCCTCCCTGCACTCATAACATGAGTAGGATTAGTGGGCGGGAAACATGTGAACGCAACATCACAACATAAAAACAACACACTACCTGTGGGCCACGCAGTGGCACGGCACAATATGCGGCACCCGTGTTCGTAATCGCGCCACTAGGCCTGTCTGCCCGCCCGTCATCACGCTCGCGCCGTTCGTGGTCATGCCGCTGACCCTTGTCAGTTCGAGGCCGCACGCAGCAAGGTGCATCAGCAGGACGGCCTCAAGCGACCCGGCGTCGCACTTCTCAACGGACAAGTTGGCGAAGAACTCGGTAGCCACCACCGTGCCACGGAGAAACGTGGCATACACAATCATGTGTTTGCCACGCCTTCGGTCGGTGCTTTCATCGAGTTGAAGGCCAACGAAGGGACTGACGCTGATGTGCTGCATCTGCTTCGCCTTCAAGTAGCACACCAGCGTCTCGACCAGCTGTTTGAAACCATACCTGTGTCAAAGAGTACAAGAAATAAATGGATAGTAGGGGGTTTTCATAAACCACAGCGATAACAACTGCAAAACTCACCATGAACAATAAGTCCCTTGGTCCTTCGCCGGCATATCTGGCGTTCCCATCTCCGCCATGAACTGCACGAGTGTCATGAACATGACAATGGGGATGTCGGATTTGCAAAGGAAACGCACAGTCAGAAACAACTTTACCAACCGCCGCGTTTCCGCACTCCTATCTCTGAAGTTGGAGAGAGATGCCTGCTTCTTCTGCGGGCCTTCACGCTGCTCCAACCGGTCCTTCGCCTCCCGGTGCCGGATGCTCCACTGATGCTTCCTCATCATCTGCTTCTGTATGTCGATGCCTCCCTTGCCCCGAGCGCCGTACTGTGAATCTGGATCTGCGTACACCATGCAGATCTTGCACCTCATGCAAGGTTGACCTTCGGATGTGTCACCGATGATGAGCCAAGGGAAGTGGCGATTCCACTGCTGCTTGGCTTTTAGCTGCAGCTCCTCTAGCGTCAGAATCCGGGGTCCGCCATTCTCAGCTCCGTGGCTCTCCCTTCCATCTTCCTTAGTAGTGGCTGTGGCGCTTCGAAAAAGGTAGCTTATGTTGCACAAATTTGGTCTTGCCAGTAAACCGCATCGGGAGAAACGGGGAGCGGGATTGAAAAGGATTTTGTTCACCAGCAACATCTGATGCGACAGGTTGACCGGATGGTGAACCCCCAGGGTGGCTTGTTGAGCTCGGTGACCGCATGGGTGAAAATGGTATGAGCGGCTTGGCATCCATCTCAGCGAAAGGGTAAGGCTGCTCGGGAGAATCGAGTTTGTCATTCTGACAGGCCGAAGGAGCAATAGGAGCAGCTGAGACTGGAGTAGGGGTGAACCCCCCCCCCCCCGTAAGGAAATCCAAGCCAGTGCGTGGGCGTGGCAACGGACTGGAAGGAGGTGAAGCATGCAGAGTGGATGCTGGAGGGGCCTCTGTACGAGAGTCTACGGCCATCTCGTTGGAACTAGGCACTGACTGGCTCTGGCACACGAGGGTAAGATGAAGGACACATGTGCTGTGGGGAGTGAGGGGGGACCGTCCGAACCGAGCCGCATGCATGGACGTCCCCTTCCCTGCTTGAAGCAGCCATGCCATCCATCTCTCGCTGACTCGACGCGCACTGAGGGCTGTCGGTGTTGCAAATGCAGCCTTCTGTCAGATTTATATGACATAGTTGCTGTAGGCTTTAGTGGGGTAGCACATATGGGGTACAGGGTTTCTAGGGTTGTATTTGTACCCAATCTTTCCTTAGTCATTTCATTCCTGTTCTTCAGTTTCACATGGTATAGAGCAGGTTCCCTGTGGGAACTTCGCCTAGGGCCCACCGAAGCGCGCCCCGAGGCGCGCGATTTTTTTTTTTTTAGCGACCCTCCGAGTCGCCCTGTCCCCTTGCGGCCCCGCCGCCCTTCAGACGCGGTCCCGCCGCCCTTACTAGCGGCCCAGCCGCCCTTACTAGCGGCCCAGCCGCCCCTTCGCGCGGCCCCGCCACCCAGTCGCGGCCCCGCCACCCAGTCGCGGCCCCGCCACCCAGCCGAGCCGCCCAGCCGCAGCCGACCCTGAGCCTGACCCGCCCTGCACCCGAGCCGCCCAGCCGTCGAGCCGCCCGGGAGCCGAGCCGCCCTGCGCCCGAGCCGCCCAGCACCCGAGCCGCCAGGTCGCTGAGCCGCCTTTCTGCATACCTACACGACCTGCCCTGCCTGGTGAGCACAGTCCCACTGACACTGCGAGCTCTTTCCCTGCTGCTTGCACTGCGTCGCTGTCGTCGCCATGGCTACCCCTGGTGTCCTAGCTTTTGACGCTGAGGGTCGCGCCATTGATTTTGAGGTCTGGTTAGACGACCTGCAGCTGTTCTTACAGTGCGACAGGGCTGACGACCTTTCTCTCTTTGATCTCACCTCTGGCGCCTCTCCTGCTCCTGCTGCTGATGCTGATCCCGCTGTCCGCTCTAAGTGGGCCACCCGCGATGCTGCTGCACGTCTTGCTGTGCGTCGCCACCTCCCTACCTCTGAGCGTGCGCACTTCAGTCAGTACAAGAGTGCTCAGACCTTGTACGATGCTGTAGTTGCGCGCTACTCCTCCCCTGCCACTGCTGCACTGAGCCGTCTCATGCTTCCCTACCTCTTTCCTGACCTCTCTGCCTTTCCCACTGTCGCTGACCTCATTACGCACCTCCGAACTAGTGACACTCGCTACCGCGCCGCCCTTCCTGCTGAGTTCTGCGCTAAGAACCCCCCCCCCATGTACATCGCTCTCTACTACGTAGTCGCGCGCCTCCCTGACTCCCTTCGAGTCGTCAGGGACCACTTTCTCGCAGTCTGTCCCACCACCCTCACCGTAGACCTCCTCGAGAAGGCCCTCCTCGCAGCGGAGAAGAGCATAGTCGCTGTAGGTGCTTCTCGTGGTGACCCTCGCACCCCCATCTTTGAGGGGTGCTCTCCTTCCCCCTTGCTGCCCTCTGTTGCCTCTGCTGCTGCTGCCGACCTGCTTGGTCTTGAGTCGGTCGGCGCGGCGTCTGCCCCTAGTGGGAGACGTCGCTCCAGCAAGGGCAAGGGGGGCAAGGGCGCGGGTGGAGCTGGAGGGGGCAGTGGCGGTGGCGGCGGAGGGAGTGGGGGTGGCGGCGGGACTAGTGGCGGGGGTGGTGGTGGTGGTGGTGGCAGCAGCGGCGGAGACGGTGGTGGTGGTGCAAGCGGTGGTGGTGGAGGCAGCGGCGGAGGTGGAGGCGGCGGAGGTGGAGGCGGTGGAGGCGGCAGCGGGGGAGGCAGTGGTGGTGGAGGGGGTGGAGCTGGTCGGGGTGGTACCCAGCAGCGTAGCGGCGGTGGTGGTGGCCAGCGCTCGCAGCGGCAGCAGCAGCAGCGCTCTCGGGACATCCCTTCGCCTCAGCAGCTTCGTGAGTGGTACGCTGGGCGTCAGAGGGGTGGGGGTACTGGTCCCTGCACCTACGTTCTTCGTTCCGGCGACCGCGCGGGTGAGCAGTGTGGGGGTGCCCACGCCACCCAGCGCTGCTTTGGCCGCCTAACGGACGCCTGGCGTCAGCAGTTCCCTGGGGCTAGTGAGATCCCTCGCTGGGATGAGCTTCTCAGGGCTGGTGTAGCGATCTTTGATCTTGATTTTGATGCTATCCTTACTGCTATGTATGTTGTGGATTATAGTGAGGAGAATGAGGGTTACCGCTGTTTCCAGCCCGACCCGGGCATTGGTACTGCTGCGCTAGGTGCTTGTGAGGCTACTGCTCTAGGTGCCAGTGCGTCTGCGCTCTCAGGTACTGGTGAGACTGCGCTCTCAGGTACTGAGTCGTCCTCGTCCTCCCTCACTTTCACACTTGACTACGGAGCTTCTCGCTCCTTCTTTCGAGACCGCACTACCCTTACGCCGCTCGGCCGGCCGGTTGCAGTCTCCCTTGCTGACCCCTCAGGGGGTCCTGTCCTGTCTCACTTCTCCACTGTCCTCCCGTGTCCGGCTGCCCCTTCGGGCACCCTGTCGGGTCTGTACCTTCCCTCGTTAACTACGAACTTGGTGAGTGGAGCAGACCTGCAGGATGTGGGTGTTCACCAGTTCACTCCTGCGAGTCAGCGGGTGACCCACTGCACGGAGGCACGCACAGGCCGACACCTGGCCACGTTCTCGCGTCGGCCGGGGTCGAGTCTCTACACCCTGACCGTTGAGTCTCCCCCTGTCCCTGCGTCTGGTCTGGTGGCTGCGTCGGGTCAGGTACTTGCTGCTGCGTCCCGGTCAGGTCCTGAGTCTGCCCCCTGTTCTTGTCGCCTCCTGTCTCACGAGACTCTCTTGTGGCACCACCGTCTTGGCCACCCCTCCTTGCCCCGTCTTCGGAGCATGGCTTCCCGTGTCCTTGTCTCTGGTCTTCCCCAGTCTCTCCCTCCTCTCCCCTCCGGGCCAGGACCTTCCTGTGTCCCTTGTGTCGAGGGTCGCCTCCGGGCTACTCCTCACTCCTCCCACTTCCCCCCGACAGAGGCTCCCCTGCAGACGCTTCACATGGATGTGTGGGGCCCAGCCCCCGTCCGTGGGCAGGGTTACGAGCGCTA